TTATCTGATGTCAGGAGTTCAAGACCAGCCTGACCAACATCGTGAAACCCCATCTCTACTAAAAATACAAAATTAGCCAAGTATGATGGCACATGCCTGTAAACCCAGCTACTTGGGAGGCTGAGGCAGGAGAATCGCTTGAATCCAGAGGGCGGAGGTTGCAGTGAGCTGAGGTCACGCCACTGCCCTCCAGCCTGTGCAACAAGAATGAAACTCTGTCTCAAAAAAGAACAAAAAACAAAAAAACTGTAGCAATCTAATACATTAAAAAAAAAAAATGAATTCTTTAATCTTTCAAAGTGAAGATTCATGACCAAATTTAAGCCTTATTTAGTACTTTTTTTTTTTTTGAGACGGAGTTTTGCTCTTGTTGCCCAGGCTGAAGTACAATGGCGTGATTTTGGCTCACCGCAACCTCGGCCTCCCGGGTTCAAGTGATTCTCCTGCCTCAGCCTCCCAAGTAGGTGGAATTACAGGCATGCGCCACCATGCCTGGCTAATTTTGTATTTTTAGTACAGATGAGGTTTCTCCATGTTGGTCAGTCTGGTCTCAAACTCCCAACCTCAGGTGATCTGCCCACCCCAGCCAGCCTACCAAAGTGCTGGGATTACAGGCATGAGCCACCGAGCCTGGCACCTTATTTAGTATTCTAATAGAAAAAAATATTTTGAAAAATCTTTCCAAAAAAGGGGAGAGGAGGCGGCTTGCTAAGAAAGAATTGAGGCCAGGCAGGATGGCTCACACCTGTAATACCAGCACTTTGGAAGGCTGAGGTGGGCGGATCATCTGAGGTTAGGAGTTCAAGACCAGCCTGGCCAATATGGTGAGACCCTGTCTCTACTAAAAGTACAAAAATTAGCCAGGTGAGGTGACGGGTGCCTATAATCCCAGCTACTCATCGGGAGGCTGAGGCGGGAGAATTGCCTGAGCCTGGGAGGTGGAGGTTGCAGTGAGCAGAGATTGCACCACTGTACTCTAGCCTGGGTGACAGTGTGAGACCTTGTCTCAAAAAGAAAGAAAGAAAGCAAGAAAAAAATCAAGGAAGATAAATTTTAGGAGTTTTAGGAAGAATATAAATGAGAGACAGCAAGAGTCTTCATTCAAACCTCATTATGTGTCTGTGAATAGCAGTTTACAAAAAAAACTATCATGAGAATCCCAACTTATTTCAGCGGTTCCACCATTCTTTCGCCTCCCAGATAAAAAAACCTTGGAGACACCATAGACTTTTACCTCCACTGTTTTTAGTAATCAATTATTGGCTGGGTATGGTGGCTCACACTTGTAATCTCAGCACTTTGGGAGGCCGAGGCAGACAGATCATGAGGTCAAGAGATTGAGACCATCCTGGCCAACATGGTGAAACTGCATCTCTAACTAAAAATACAAAAATTATCCCAGCACTTTTGGAGGCTGAGGTGGGTGGATCAGGAGGTCAAGAGATCGAGACTATCCTGGCCAATGTGGTGAAATTCCATCTCTACTAAAAATACAAAAAAATTAGCTGGGCATGGTGGTGCACGCCTGTAGTTCCAGCTACTCGGGAGGTTGAGGCAGGAGAATTGCTTGAACCCGGGAGGTGGAGGTTGCAGTAAGCCTAGGTCGCGCCACTGCACTCCAGCCTGACGCCCGGTGACGGAGTGAGACTCTTGTCTCAAAAAAAAAAAAAAAATTAGCTGGGTGTGGTGGCCTATGCCTGTAATCCCAGCTACTCAGGGGGCTGAGGCAGGAGAATTGCTTGAACCTGGGAGGCAGAGGTTGCAGTGAGCAGAGATTTCGCCATTGCACTCCATCCTGGGTGACAGGGCAAGGCTCCGTCTCAAAAAAAAAAAAAAAAAAATCAATTATCATGTTCCAGTATTTCTCCCTTCAAAATGTCTCTTTGGAATACAAAGGAAAATTCCCAATTTCAAAAGAACACACACAAAAAATACTATTACCATTAAAAAGAGCATTTTTTTCTCATTATCTGTGTAAATAAAGCAAAAAAAATTTTTAAAGAATGGAAAATATACATGATGCGCTGAGTCAAAAAAATCTCACAGGGAGAAAAGGGCATAATTCCAGTTTTATAAAAACAGTTATCAGCATAAAAAACGACTTGAAAGAAATCATCACATTAAAATATTAACAGGTCAGGCATGGTGACTCATGCCTGTAATCTCTGCACTTTGGGAGGCCAGAGTGGGTGGATCACCTGAGGTCAGGAGTTCGAGACCAGCCCGGCCTACATGGCAAAACCCCATCTCTAATAAAAATACAAAAATTAGCTGGGCTTGGTGGTGTACGCCTGTAGTCCCAGCTGCTCGGGAGGCTAAGGCAGGAGAATCACCTGAACCCGAGAGGCAGAGGTTGCATTAAGCAAAGATTGTGTCACTGCACTCTAGCCTGTAACCTCCACCTCCCAGGTTCAAGTGATTCTTGTGTCTCAGCCACCTGCGTAGCTGGGATTTCAGGTGCATGCCACCATGCCCAGCTAACTTTTGTATTTTTAGTAGGGATGAGGTTTCGGCATGTTGGCCAGGCTGGTCTTGAGCTCCTGACTTCAAGTGATCTGGTCAGGCTGGTCTTGAACTCTTGACCTACAGTAATCCGCCCACCTCAGCCTCCCAAAGTTCTGGGATTACAGGCATGAGCCACCTCGCCCAGCCCATCAACCCTTATTTACTTATTTACAGATGGGGTCTTGGTGCTGCATTGAAGTGCAGTGGCAAAATCTCAGCTCACTGTAGCCTCAATCTCTTGAACTTAAGTGATCCTCCCACCCCAGCCTCCCAAGTAGCTGGGACTACAGGTACATGCCATCATGCCTGGCAAAATATTGTAGGTTTTTTGTAGAGATGTGGCTTGCTATGTTGCTTAGGCTGCTCTCAAACTCCTGGCTTCCAGGATCCTCCTGTACTGGCCTCCCAAAGTGTTGGGATTACCAACCGTGCCTAGTCCCCATAATCTACCCTTGTATTCAGTGCCCTACGTAAATCCTGCAACTGTTGGTTCTTTGCAGCAGCTTTACTCAGTTCAGTTCTGCATTTATCCATTGTACTAATGAAGAGTGTCATATACACTCTGCTGTCTAATCTCATATCCCAAACTAGATTAATCTCCCTGTGGTTGGGTGCCCTGGCATATTTCTTATTTTATTAAATTATATTATTTTTTATTTCAGTAGGTTTTTGGGGATCAGGTAGTGTTTGGGCACATAAATCAATTCTTCAGTGGTGATTTCTGAGGTTCTGGTGCACCCATTACCCAAGCAGTGAACACTGTACCCAAAATAAAGTCTTTTATCCCTCATCCCACTCCCACCCTCTTTCTACCAAGTCCCCAAAGTCCACAGTGTCATTCTTGCGGCACATTTCTTTTGTATAGCCAATTGGGTCTACTACCCTTTTGGGCATACAAGCAAACAAAAGCTTTGTAACTGACTAATGGCATTTAAAAGCTCTGCTGTAAGTAAGTGTAAGCTGCTGACTTCTTATGAAGTCATTTTGCTTTTGAACTTTATTCCTTGTAAAGGAGCTATTAGTTAACTATAACCATTTCAAGTACAGAATAACCACTCAGTAAGTTTTAGGGATGATTTAACACATAGTTTTTTTATTTTTAAGTAATACATAAGTTGCTGAAACTAACACTTTCAAAACTTTCAGGAAAGGACAAAAAGGAATTCAAAATACAAATCAGAACACACACATAAAGCTTATTAACTTCATTTATCTTAAAATAGCCATGTTGCTCAGGCACAAACCTTAAGTATAATCAACAAGAGCAGAAAAAGTAAATGAATGGTGTGTGAATGAATGTATGTGTACACAAAAGCACACTCGGGTCTCCAAAGTTGAAGTACATGATATGAAAGCGCTTTGTAAACTAAAAGGAGCCACAGAAAAAGGACGTAGTAGGGCAGCAGAGTTAAAAGCATGGAGCCAGCCTGCTTGGGTGTTAATTATATTAGCTCTGTAACCCTATACGGTACAAGTTACAATACTAAAATTCCCTGTGCTTTAGTTTCCTGTCAAAATGGGGATAACAGTATCTGTCCCAAAGCAAAGCTCTTAATACAGTGCCTAGTGCATAGAAAGCACAAAATAAATATTGCCCATCATTATCACACTGGCTAATATTCTTATTGGCTAATATTAGTTATTAGCCAAGGAAAAGCCTCAATGGATGATGTTTCAATTCAAGTCTGTAGCTGGTTATCCAAAGAAACTCCAAAAAACCAGCAGGTGTCAGCTATTAGGTGGACTAGTTTCTCATAATTCTCCAAAGTGCTGAACTGATGATTATTAAAGAACTAATTTCTCTTACTTTTTTTTTTAAATTAGCAAACAAACTGACCTAGGTACCTCTGTTCTCAAGGAACTTTATAAGCCACAAGAAAACAAACCAACTCTTTGTTATCTCCATATTTAAGCAATTTAAGAGCGTAGTAAAAGCCTAGATACTGTTACAGAACGACTTTTCAGAAAAATACAATAAGGTTTTTAAAGTTGTAACCAGCAATTCTTATGCAGTTATGTCAAGTTTTTGTCCCGCGAAACAAAAGCTCATCTGTCAGGAACCCGAGGACCCGTCAGAAAATAAGGAAATGCCTGGGCCGGGCCTAGGCGCTGTGCGCAAAACCTGTCCTTAAAACAGTTCGCCCCACACTCGTTCTGTCCTTCCCCTTCTCCGGGTGCAGCTGTCGACTCCACCCGAAAATAAATAAGTGACAGCAGGTAGCGTCCACGCCTCTCCCGGGCCAGGCCCCTGAAGCCCCCCGGAAGCCCCCCGCCCCAGCCACCCGACCATCCCCGCCGCGGCCGGCAGAAGGGCTCCGCCCCGGCCTTGCCGCCCCGCCCCGCGACCCCGGCAGAGCCGCTGCGAGCCCGGCCGAGCAGAGGCCGCCGCGGGGCCTGTAGGTGGGCCCCGGGCGCGGTCAAGCCCGGCTGGAGAAGCCCTGCCAGGGCAGGGGAGCTGCGGGCGCGGGGCTCGCCCCGGCTCGGCAGCAACTTACCGGCGCCTCATGGTACCGCAGTGCCTCAGTCCAGCCCGGGCGCTGAACATCCGTGCCCGGCCGCCTAGAGTGTCCCTCGGCTTCTGGGCCGAGTCCCACTCAGGGCCATTCAAAAGCGGCCGCGCGCGAGGCCCGCCGGGATAGCTGGCGCTGTGGCCGTCTGGCGGGCTCCGCCCAACGTTGGCTCCGCCCCTCTGGGGGTCGCGAAGCGCCGGAGGGAAAAAGACGTGTGGCTACAGTGCCTCCTGGTGGCCAGAGCTACGCAGGGCAGCCTAGTTATCGCGCGACAAGTAATATTGCGATAGGAACTGCAGCTGGGTAAAAGTCAACGAATGACGGACCCTGCACTAGGGACAACTTAGCGGGGCAGACCTTGCCTTAGTGGTTTACCAGGAGGTGCAAACAATTTCCTATAAAGTTATGGTTCCGGGAGATTTATTCATTCACACCTATTTAAATACATTAAGGGTCTGGGCACGTTCGCTCACACCTGTAATCCCAGCACTTTGGGAGGCCAAAGCAGGAGGTTCGCTTGAGCCTCGGAGTTCAAGACCAGGCTGGACGACATGGTGACAACTGCCCCTGAGCCCCCCACCTCCGCCCTCTGTCTTTATAAAAATAAAAATGATAATAAACACACTAAGGCATAGTTTCTAAAAGCATGGAGTGTGGAACTGTGACCTTGAGCAAGTCACATAAACTCCTAAGTGCTTTGCTTTCCCCTTCTGTAAAGTGGGGATAATAACAATAGTATCTGTGTCTTAGTGTTCTGAAGATTAAATGAATTAATACACATAAAATGCTTAGAGGAGTGCCGGCATATGGTAAGCACTACATGTTTGTTAGTCATCATTTCTTCAGTTCCTGTTATGTACCAAACTTTGTGCTAAACTCTTAAGAACACAAGCAATGTACACGATGCAGAACCTGTCCTCAGGAAGCCGGTTCAGTCTTGCTGGGATGAGGAACACTAAATTAGATTATGACGTTACGGTTGGGTCTCTTGATAATTAACTTTTAATTACTGAGGGCAATTGTTTTCATTAGAACCAGGCTGCTCACCTTCATAGATAAGCTACTGGTCTAGGTTAGCCAAGTTGTGACAGGAGCAAGTTTGCCTATGGTGGTCCTCTCACCCCTTACAGAAGCCAACCAAGCAGGGCATTTGATGGAACACTTCCTCACCACAAGACTACATCCCTCGCTTGCTTTTTCAGGCACTCATTTCGGAACTCTACAAGGCTTGCCTAGGGAACAGGCTGCTTAAGTCCAGTTTAGCAGTATTTTTGAAGGCCCGCCATGTGCCAGGAAAATTTTGCCTGGTGCTGGAAATGGCCTCAAGCAGCTCACAATGGCTTGGAGAAACAGGAAAAGAGACCATTCCAATACACTGCAGTGATAAAAGGTATCTCCTAAATGCTGTGGGAGTTCCGAGCAGTCGGAAGCCTGTCGGATAAACTGGTCAGAACTAAGATGTCATCAGGTTGTTATAACCTTATGTGTTTTTCCTCCCTAGTAACAGAGTCCTTACTTAGTAAAAAATTAATAATAAGTAATGGTGAAAACTGAGGCAGGGCTTTTGGGCTGTGGGAAAATAGCTTTAGGATATTTTGCATAAGCAACATCTTTGAGAGCTTCTCGACTGCACCAAGCATAAGCAGGCACATGCCTATGTGTGGGGCCACATCTGTTAGCAGGTGGTACTGTTGAGAGAGTCCAGCCAGGTGACTAAACGAAGCTGGAGCCCTTGTTTCCATGAATGTACAATGAGGAGTATTTCCTGAATATGACTTCCACTAAGTAGGTGTGTTGTTTTAAAGAAAATAAAAACTCAACACACATGGGTGAAGTTACTTTCTTTCAAGTCATTTCTTCATCATCATAAACAGGAATTTCTTGATGACCCACTATGCAAAAGACACTGTGCTGGTCTCTCATCGGAAGAAGAGGGTAAAAAGAGTGTACTGTATGATCCTTATCCTCAAGGGAGGCTAAATGAAGAGGTAACACAAATAATGCAGTCCTGAAACTCAGGGAATCTGCTGTGTTAACACAGAAGAACCTCAGCTAACACAACAGAGGCCAGAGGAGAACCTCAATATTCTCATTTCTGGAGCTTGTTGGGGCACAGGATCTCAGGCAGGTTAATATCCAGGGCCAAGTTATAAAGCTTATGGCAGTGATGGGCAGCCCAGGCCTCCACATCTCATAATTTAACATAAAAATAAGGAAAACTGCCTTTGCATTTTGCTACTTTTGGAATATATGCAAATACTACATTTTAGTGATGAAAATGCAGGGCAAATTTCTTCATTGATAGTTTTCCTATCAATAAAGTTGAATTTTTCCCCATTGGGGCTCAATAGACTTTGCTTTCTTAATAAAAAAAAGTACAGCCTATACATTAAAAAACACCCCTACATCAGTGCTTGTATACAAAAAGGTGGTGCACTGATAGCCTTCACAGTGGGCAATCTCCAAGGCAGTCAACTCCTCTGGCCATTCCTTCATTCCTTCCTTCTGAAGAGAACAAGCAGCTAAGTTAGCCTTCCTGCCTCACATCCCCCTCTCTTTGGGGTGCAGAATCATTCAAGGACAGTGTGTAGAGTGACCCACATGAGAAAAGGGCTGCCATGCAGTCCTGTTTACACTGCTTGATGGCAAGCAAGGGAGGGATGATGGAGCTGGGCCTGATAAGCTGGAAAGGATTTTGACGGACAGGGTGTTCCAGACAGAGAGGGGGAAATGCAAAGCAAGTTCTAGCACTGCAGTCTATTCTGATTTGAGTGGAGGGAAAGGTGCTTGGAAGTGTCACAGGAGTGAAGATTGAAAAGGTATGTAGGTACCTGATAGGTTGTGAAGACCTGGAATTATCAAGCAAAGGTGTTTGAAGGTAAAGGGGACAGCAAAGACAGTTGAGCAGGGGAATGGCTGAGTTAAGTCAGTGCTTTAGGAGGATTGATCTGTTTGGGAGGCCAAGGCCAGGAGTTTGAGACCAGCTTGGGCAACATAGCAATACTTCATTTCTACAAAAATTTTAAAAAATAGGCATGGTGGCGCACACCTGTAGTCCTAGCTACCTGAGAGGCTGAGGTAGGAGGATCACTTGAGCCAAGGAGCTCAAGATTATTACAGTAAGCTATGATTACACCACTGCATTCCAGCAAGAGAGTAAGACCCTGTCTCTTAAGCACCAACAACAAGAAGGGCTGATTTGTCACCAGGCCGCTGGATGGCTAGGGGTAGGGAGGAGACTGATGGCAAGAACATTAGGTATAAAAGTGTAGTTCAGTCCAAGGTCCAAGGAGTCATAGCATTTACTGCACTGTGTATCATTCTCCTTGACTGAGACCGATGCTGAGCCCGACAGAGGACAATGCCTGAAGGGACCTAAAAGACAGCAACAGCTCATCGACTCCACAAGTAATGACATCCACTGCTCAGCCTCAGCACCTTTGGAAAATTCTAGGCAGTTGACTTTGGCAGTCAAAATAAGAAATCAATCCCTCTTTTTCTGCTCCTCCTTTCCCTACCTTCCTTTGCAGGCTGTGGAAGGAAGTAATGGCAGTAGGAAACATTTCAGATAAGGCAGGAGCAGTGGAAATGAACACATTCCACTCCCAGCTTACAAGATTTATGATTGTTTCAAACACCACCATAACACTGATGCCCCGCTTGGTGGCAGAAGCAGTAAGCAAACAACAACAACAAAAGCAAAAACAAAACCCTGGTAGTGTTTTCTGCGGGGTGAAGGGTGGGTGGTGGGGAGGTGTTGAGTGATAGAGGATCCTATTTTTAAGATAGCTTGTTTCTGATACATCTACAGCCCTCTATTATAATTCTACAACTGAGAAGCAGGTAAGCCAAAAACATTTATGAGTTGATAATATTTTATATTTATAGACTTAAATCTGAATCTCAAGAAACCATCTCTCTCCTCCTGCAAGTACATTTCCTGCAATTAGACTACACTGCCACCAGATGGAAGGTGGTGGAGGCAGCATGTTATGTTAGACTAGTTTTGGAGCAAGGCTCATCTCTATCTAAAGCCTAGATTGCTGCCTTTGGGCCCTTTCTACACCATTTTTACCTTAATGTGCAATGGGAATAATAACACTGTCCTCTCAGGTGCTGTTGGGAAATGGGATAACCTACATAAAACATCTACAACAATGCCTAGAGAAGTGATTGTGT